CGCATGCATGTACACACGCACATATATACTCATTCTGCTCATGATAATGTAAATGTTTTTGAAGAAAGATTGGGAAACTTGTATTAAAGCATTATGAAAGCTAGCTGGCTATTTCACTTCTAGGGATGTATGCTAAAGGAAGACTAAAGGATGTGCTCAACGATTTAACCTCAAAGATGGCAACAAAATTTGTAATAGGCAAAAACTAAAATCATCTGACTGGTCAGCAGTAAGAGGTGGCCAAGCTAATTATATAAATGACAGGATTTTCTGTAGACATTAAAATTGTAATAGCATCCATATTAACATGAAACAACTTTCATAATTTTGTTACACAGAAAATGCATGCTAAAAGCAAAACATTGCAAATTTTGTAGATGATGCATGATGCAAGCATACACATTTAGAGGTATGTATACATTGGGAAATCCATAAAGGGCATCTTCAGGTACTAGTATTGTTTCTTTTACTTCACCTTTCTTTTTATCTGAATTTCCAGATTCGTTTATGATAAAAATGAATTACTTTTGAAATAAAATACTAAAAATGGACACAATTTTTAAAAATCCATACTGTCAACATAGTCTTCCAGAAAAAAAAGTAGAAAAAATTCACTTGAGTTTTCTGTAGCAGCTAGACTGAGTCAACAAAAAGGCATTGAGTTAAAATTGAATGATAGCGGTAGGTAGAAATAGGAATCATTTATACTTAAAAAGCCATCTGATTAGTATGTTTTGTTTTCATACCTGTTGGGTTTTATAAACTAAAAAATCTGTCTCGTAAACCCAAAATTAAAGTGGATAGTGAGGTTTTTCTCCATCTATTGAACTGATTCTTAGAATATATTGCCTTTTATTTTAGATGAGAGCATCAAAACTGTCTTTGATCCAAAACAGCCATGCAAATCCCGCATTTACATCTGAAGTCAACCTATTTATAATCAGATGTTTTAAAAAATCCCCAATTTTCTTTTATCCCTGTGATTCAAAGAGGGTTAGTGACAGTACAACTTTGAGAGCAACAGCTATGTTTTATTTCTGAAGCAGTCCTATTTGCTAACACAGGAAATCAAAAATGCAAAAACTACCAGCCAATCAGGAAAACGGAACTGTGAATGTCGGAGCTTTGTACGTACAAATTAGAGAATGTTTTTCCCTGAACAGCAGTATATTTTTCTTTTAAACTAGAATTATCCTCTTACGTCAACAGAAGTACCAATTAAAATCACTATTCATCAATGCTGAGGTCCTAACACAGAGCTTGTGTTAGGGAGATCAATAGAGCTCATCAACTATAATTTTAATCATTTTATCTTAGTTTTCAAATGGAATAATTTGGAGTGAGGGAAAAATTCAAAATCTTAGTTACTGCTGATATGAAGGCAGATATTTCTGAGGATGATTAATGTATTTAATCAACCACTCAGTTTTTAAATACTAAGATCCCCCCCCTTTTCAGTGAATATTTGCTAGGCACTGATGACCCGGTGGTGAACATAATGAAATAGTCTTTCTCCTCATGCAGCTTAGATTCTAGTGGGAGAGAATATTACATGAGAAATCATAATTATAAATAGTAATTATACACACTTAGGCAAATTATGCCAATAGTAACTATAAGCACTTTAAAGGGGAGGAACAGAGTCTGAGAAGCAATACTGGGGAGGTGCCTGTTTATCTTGGTAAGTCTGGGGACTCTTCAAAGAAGAGGTGACAATAAGCTGTCACATGAAGGATGAAAGTCATTCACTTGCCTCACATTTCGTGTGGCTCATACCAGTTACCCCAAATATGGCACCTTGGAGGTCACTCTGACCTCCTCTCACCTTTCTTCCATGAAACATGGCCATAAATATTTGACCTACCTCCCCTAAAAGGAGGCTGTTAAGACCCTCACTCCAGAGGGAGGGGCCCTGCCCTATGCCAGGCAGGCCAAGAAGACTGGACAAACGGGCCCTCCAAGGTCCCCCCTGCCAGCTTCTGACCATACTTTTGCAAGATTGTTCAGGAAAACGGTTTTCCCTGGGTCTTTGGATCTTCATCTCTGAAGGTTCTTGGTTCACATAACATTTTGGTCAAATAAGTTTGTTAGGCTTTTCTTTTGTCAGTCTTTTGTTATAGGGAATTTGGCCATGAACCTTGCAATGGGTAAGAAAAAGGTGACTTTTCTCTCCTACATGTTCTATTTGGTTAGCATCACTTTCTGGTCTTCCCACCATCTCCCTAGCCATTCTGACTCAGCCTTCGTGGGGTATCCTTCCTCTTCTATCCACTCTCTAAATGCTAAAGCTTTTCAGTGCTAAGTTCTAGGCCGCCTTTTCTTCTCCTTCCAAGGGCTAACCCATTCCTATGACCTCAGATGACATCTTGGTGTCAAAGATTTCTGTAATAGATTTTACCAGTCCAAACTTCTTTTCTTAGGAGGTTGACATATAGACCCAAATCTATGTGACCTCCTCACTCGAATTCCTCATAACCTCAAATTTACTTTGAGCAACACTAAAAGATACTTCACTCTCAACTCTTATCCAGTGATCTTCATGTAATTTTTACATGCTGTTCCTTCCACCTGGAACATCATAGGTCTCCCTGCTGTGTATTACCGGAGTACTGTATTCTTTTCTGTACCAGACGGGTGCATTTGGCTACAACTAACAGATTACCCAATGGAGACGGTTTCAGTAGTAAGAACATCTAATTTTTAACCACTTGATAGCATAGGAGGTCTGAAAGGAGTCATGTTTTGGGTTGATGGCATATTTCAAAAAATTATACAAAACCAAGACTTTCCCTTTTCTTGTCATTCTGTGCATGTTAATTTTTTTAAATTTAGGGTAATTGCCTTATGGTAACCCATATACCATGTCTGACATAACTGCATTTAAGGTAGAAAAATGCGAGAAGAATGCTCTCCTGTAAAATTCTCTCGGCCCTCATCCCATTTCCTTACATCACATGAGCCATATCTGTCATACGATAATTGCAGGGGAGGCTACTTAGCTGAGTATAAGGAGATGGTTAGGAAGAGAAGGTTGAAATGCCTGTTGATTTTTTTTTTTTTTTTTTTTTTTTTTTTTTTTGATCCAACATTCATTGGTGCACGTACCAAAATGGCAGTTAAAAAAAAAAATTTAATATGTGCATTTTGTTCATTGTCTTGCCTGTGAGATTATAAACTCTTTGGGAAATGTCTGTCTTGATACGATGCTATAAGCCTAGAATCAGCAGTGTCTGGCCTACATAGATCAGTTATGCTGACTGATGGAATGAATTAACAATAGGGAAGAGAATAATGGGCAGAAATCCAAGTACAAAAGAGCTAGAAAACTGCCAACACAAAACTTAAACTGATTGCCATATCTCATATCTCATGGTTCAGTTTTCTATTCCATTTAAATTGAAGTCTTTAAGGCAATTTTTTCAAAGTCCTCAGTACTTTGCACAGTGAATAGAATTCTTAACCTCTTAATTCGTGCCATGAAAATAGGCATTGGTATTACTGTCACTAAGATCCAGGAATAAATTCTTAAAAAAAAAAACCCGTTAAAGGGTTATATGATCCAGAAAAATTTAAATTACCTCAAGTACATAAATTCAATTGTTGGCTAAATCGCTCAAATGTCATTTAACAAGAAAAGCGTAAAAGCTAGAAATTTTTATTTAAAAGAGTACTCATGAAATTGTTGGTCTGTTTTTCACTCAGTATCACACCAACAGATAAGTTTGTCATTCAGATTGGCTGATTTAGGTACAAAGCAAATGTAAAATATCTCAAAGGATGCTTGATACATTTTTGTTCTTATACCTAGACCAAAAGAAAACTTGGGTTTATTCCTATCTGTTTCATCCTAAATATGTACCTATGGGCATGTTGATTATGTTCTTTGGTTCACAATCAATACAGTAATCTTTACCTTTCAGTTACAAATACAGTCACACCATAATTTTAAAACTTAAAGTTAAATGGTATTGAATGCATTCAACTATATCCAACCTAATGAAACATTAAGGAACTGATTCATATTCCTGGTAGTGTCTATTTCAATAGAAGCAAAATCTGTTCCTAGTTTCTGATGGACATTCTGTTTGATCATGTCAAAACACGCAGGGCCCTCACATATAAATATCACAATTTAAAAAGTTGTAAATAGCTACACATTCAAGACTAGCTTTTGAGATTAAAAATAGTTTTCATTTGAAATAAAATTCCTTAAAACGAGAAAATGACTTTAGCATTGGCAAAGGGAGTCCCCTAAGAAAAAAATGTAAACAGATGGCTGAGAAAGATCACCCACATGCTGAACACAGATCTTGAAGAGGCATTTCTAAGAATGAAGTAGCACTTCCCAGCCTGGGCCACTTCCCACAAGGATCCTTATTTAACCCATGGAAAACAGTTTATACCTCCGGCCAAGAGGAGCCTCAACTTTTTTCCCACTTGCCTCGCAGTGATCCAGACAACTTTCCAACTTTCCCAAGCATTCCAAAAGAAGCTTTTAAGTACCAGCCACTTGGGACGAGCAATCCCCTAATAAATCAGTGTTCGATGATCAGCCCTGAACAAACGTCTTCCCATATAAATGGGCTGTTAAGCCCTTGCTAAGCGTATTAAGTATTCAATTTAATGTATGACACACATCTGTTCCACTTTCTCAGCAGAAGTTTCAAGATAACTTAAATCCCAGACTTAATCAAGGAGAAAAAAAAATTGGCAATGTTTTTAAAACTCGGTTTTAAAATATAATCCAAATGATGGTGAGAGAGACCATTTTGCTCTAATGAGATTATATCATACCTAAATCAAATCCACAAAATCACCTGAGCAGAAACACAATCTTTTATCTAAGCTAATTTGTCTTTCCTTCAGAGACCATCAACATTTCCCAGAGACCTTTAATTTACACCTAGCCCAAGTCACCCAGAGATAAGCAAAAATGAAGCCCTTGGCAAACGCAGTGACTGAACCCCCAGATGCCCAAAGACCATAAGAGGGAAACTTACAGAATTGTCTTTCACAAGGAGAGCACAGCACTGGATCCCAGCCATCAACATCTTGTGTGGGTTCCAGGCCACAGAATCGGCCCTATTGTTTAAACAAAGGGACAGAGTAGGGAGAGGATTCAATTAGTTTCTACAGGGACTAGAATACTGTCATCAGCATCTACATTCAGTACTCATACACAGTTTACTGTTCTACAGAATTCCTTGTCTGAGTGGTTTAAGGAATTTGAAGGGGTTTTACTGGTTTATTTAATCAAAACAATTACTTTGTTCCTATTTTCAAAATATCACTTAGTCCAAAGAGATCCCTTTGCTTGATAAAAGTTGGCTGTACAATGGGTAACTACATTTACCTGTGGATGCCATGCAGAAGCTTGCGGTGCTTCCTCGACATCAAAGCTGAGCCACCCCAAGAAGCCTGTTGAGATATTTACAGAACCAAACCAATGTTATTTCAATGTTGTTTCCCATTGGGTTGTTGTAGAAAACCTTCAGTGATGACCTCGATCTGCATTATTTCATATTTTATGTTAACAAATTTGTACCCCAGGAAATTTTGATCACTGATTCGGGCAATCAGAAGCTCATCACAATAGATGGGCCCCCACTGACCCTTAGAATTATAAATTTGCATGTCATAAATTGGCATATTAACCAACTGAGCTATGTGTGGATGAGGAGGTTCAAAGTCCATGTCCTCTTGAAGCTTAGACTCTAACATAGCATCTTCACAATGCTAACATTTTGCTATCAGCGTATGATGAGACATGGGCTAAGGACTAGCATTCTGCATAATAATGAACAAAGCATGTTATTGACAAGATGGATAGATAGAAGGCCAACTAGGATGGGCTAGATGGAAATATGTTAATGAAAAATTAGATGAATTTAGCCAAATGGCTTTTAGAAATATCTGCAAATGAAACTGGGACAAATGAGAGACGGGGGCAAGCTTGGGACACAAGTTATTCACTGGAAAAGTAAATTTTGTGAGCAAAGGAAAAGGGAGTTCAGATGAAATCCCATAGTCAACAGGCCTGGAGCAAAGGGAGAAGAACTGATGTAAGAAATACAAAAGTCGGCATGCTTCTTGAAAATGGAGCAGACATAAATTTTAATTTGTAGGATAATAAAGGATGACTGTAGTGAGGATTTGAGGGGACTAGCTTGAGCTGTACTGAATACTTTCCAAGCTTATTTTTAAATCTTAAAGCATTCCATTAGGAATGGAGTTAGGATCACTTCCACTTTTTATAAATAAATTTCAGAGGTGTTCAGGTAAATTGTCCAAGGTCTCACTGATGACAAAATCAGATACGGGATTCAAAGCCCATTCTCTTGTCGTGATAACATCATGACTTAAGGTGATAATCTGGCCAAACTGGAGAGTAGAGCATGTAGAATGAGTATGACAGATGTGTTTAGGCAATAGGTGAGTTCAGGAGTTCAGGAGTGGCTTAGGATGTAGCAAATTCTGTTTTTGGCTATGGAATTTAAAGACATATGTAGACATTAATATCATGTAGAAATATGTGGCAAGAGTATGTGCACCATAGATACGGAAGATAAAATGAAGTAGCTCCATGATCCTTAGAGTATTACGAAAGCTGGTCCCATTGGTAGCTAATAATGAGAAAGTACAGTACAAGTAACTTTTGTGGCCTTAAATCCCACTTAAAAAAAACTTTCATGGACAGCTGAGTCTAGGGGAAAGTGAATGAGTCCGTGGGGTACATAATTCAACGAGGAGCTCGGTCTCAGAGCTGGAGTCTTGCAAGGCCATAAGAATGCTGCTTATAAGTTTGAGCCTTGTGAACCCCACTGGCCTCATATTAGCACCAGCCTTGATCCCATGGATTAATCTCCAACAACTCCATGGGATCCCCAGAAGTTTTTGAGCTGTGATGTTTCAATGGTGTCACGTGTTGAAATCCCAAAGATTCGCAGGTAAAGGGTTAGTAACTGGATGTTGCCAGTCAGGTTCCCTTCCTGCTGCATTTCCTCCCTTACTTGGATTCACAAGGGACCATGTGCCACTGAGGCTGAGCCACAAAGGCAAATGCCTTCAGCATCTTGGAAAATTTTATCTCAGCCTACAATTGAGGATCTCCAGATCTGGATTTTGAGAACTTGGTCCTTGCAAATATTAAGAGGAGTTACATACCACATTTTTCTTGGCTTTTATTACATACTCTAAATCCGAAATTACCTACTTTTCTCACTTTTTATCCCCCAACCTCTCTGAGAACATATCGGTGACAACTACAGGGAAGGATTAGTCCACAGAGCCCCACCTGTTTACTTGCTCACCCTTTCCATCTGCCTAACATCCTATACTTCTGCTCCTTCATGTCCTCTGAGCTAGCCTCTGCCTACACTCCTTCTCCAGAAAGGTAAATAATCTCCCAATTCTAGTGAACTGGATTTAAGTTTTGAAATCACAGGAACTCTTTCAAGGCATTAGTTCACCACTTTATGAAGTACTTTGGCAGGGTTAGAAACAGCTCATCCATAAATTTATTCCTCAAAAAAATATATATATATGTGCCCTACTTCAATCTGTTTCACTGTAATTCCCATTCCAGAATTTGAAATTATCAAACCAATCGCCTAAATGAAGCCTGGCTATCCATCTCAATAAAATTGTCATTTATTAAGCTATTACTATGTGAGGCACCACAGTATACCATTTTACATATTGTTGTCTTTAGTTAACAAATTAGTAGTAGGACCAATCCTGGAAGGGAAGTGAAGGCAGGAATGGAATTGAGATTTGGCAGCCTCTAAAGCCCAGGATTTTAAATGTTTGCTGCTGCTTATGGGACTTGGAATGAAGAATGGGTAAGAGGAAGCCTTGTTGGGAATGAGAGGCTTTCCAGGAGTTACAACCTGATTTAAAGACGAGCTAGACCAGTCCGACATTCTGCTCTCAGATGGAAGCTAGCATAACAATTGCCCTCACAAAGGAGAACAGTACTGGAGGTGAAAGAGTCTAATAAGATTAGTTTTTCTTAGATTATAATGCATTATAATTAAATTGAAGACATTATCGAATGGAAGCATCTCTATTTGTGTGTGTACTAACAAAAATTTGACATCAAAATACGAGTTTCACAGATGTTAAAATTTTTAAGTGCATCTTAGAATTGATAAAATATGGTATGAATGCAGGGCAGCATGGTTTTATTGAAAACCCAGAACAAGTAAATGTCATTTCATTTTTAAAAATAGCTTTTAATATAAGTCAAAGCAATGATTGCAATTTAATTTTCTTTTTAAAATTAATAAAGTACCTATGATGTATGAATTTGCTTCAAGATAAGCAACATGTTCCTGTAATATTTTATTGATTTGACACCCACAATAGCAAAGGATGGGTAAATGCTGTCTTTAATAAACCAGGTAGGCTGGTGTCAAATTTACTCCTACAGGCACTTGCCAGAGGCATGCTATGCACAAATAGGATAATTTGCTGTGGTTTACATATTCCCTTATAAAGATGTTTTCTTCAGACTCAACCTTGAATTTTTAGAAAACCAAAAGATCTTTTCATTCATACTTAGAAATCACAACTTTCTCTAAGCCCCATAAATCTCTTAATGTCATTCCCAATTTAGCAGCTGCTGTAGTTACTGTTTTACATAAACTATTTACATTTTATACAAACTACATAAACTATATAATCCATATTTGATGTTTTTTTGAGAGTAAAATATTTAACTGCTGATGTGTTTGGTTTTCCCTTATTTCCAGTTACAAAAATGCTCATTTCATATTATCTTTTAGGATATAATGTATCATTATGCTCCTAAGTCTATAAAAATCAATGATATAAGTTGAAATATGAACAGATACAAACGTTAAAATCGCATTAAGAAGTCACAAATAATCTACCTGAAGAATTGCTATTGGCATATTAATAGAGGCAATAACTCCAGTGAGCTTTATACTACTGTTGCTTTCAGCAAACGTTAGTATATAATTAATGTAAACTTTGAATCATATCACACTGTACTATGTGATACGATTTAACTGAAATACACTTTGAAAGCATAAAATCGTCTAAACTACAAAATTATGTGTGGGTATATCCTCCAAATACTGTTTCCTTTTCTTCAAAAAGTCAAATATTTCTTCTGCTAAGGAGGATCTGAAACTGTCACTTACCAGAGGAAGGCTCCCAAAACACCATGTGCCCAACTGTCTCTTCTTTGGTTTGAATCAGACTACTGGTTTCACAAAATTTAATTTTAAAATTAAGCTCAAGTTTATAGTTGGCTGAATTCAGTATTCTAACCCTGGATAAGTAGAATTTTTAAAGTTACCTTTGATTTAAGGATAGGTGTATTTTGAATAACCACAGGACTCACAAGAGTTAAGACAAAAGCCAATCCTTTGTTAGAAAATGAGTATATTATCCCAAACCCCCTCAAATAATTATCTGATGGATTCAGAGAGAACTTGCATTCCTTATAGCATCCAATTATGTAACGTAGCTTTTTGCATTTTCCAGCTATTCGAAACAATTTGAGCTAGAAGATACTTTATAGCCCACATCCACCATCCGCCCCCCCCCCCACCCTTCTACATGAAGAAATTGAAATCCAAAAGGCTAAGAGCACAATGAAGAGGCAGATGAGACTCTCAAACCAAAGTCTCTGGGCTCCTTAATCCAAAGTGTGTCCCTTACACCAGCCTGCTTCAATGACAGTAGATTCGAGGACCAAAGATGGTTCACGGGAGTGCAGAAAGTAAAATCGAATCCAGAAAACTAAAAATGTACATGAAGTCTTGGAATCTTCTCCTTTATAATTTACAGAAAATGGCGTACTTATTTCCCCCAGTTTGAAATACATACAAATAAAAGTGTTGGGGACCCCACATCTAGTTTGAGAATATAAAAAATTTCATACCAAGGCTACAGACTAAAGGTTAAACAGGTCTGTACACATAGATGAACTTACATCCACATGAAGCCAAAGGCTGTGCCTCTCACAGATGTCTGCTATTTCATCCAGAGGGTCAAAAGCTCCCAACACAGTCGTACCAGAAGTGGCGCAGACAAGAAACGGTGCTGCCCCCTGTAAGAAGGATCCACACACAAAGAATTGTCACCGTCACCACTTAAGTTTGTCCTGTAATAGCTGGGAAAATAGAGTTGCGCAATCAGTTACTTCGTTTCTTTGGAGATAGTCATTAATTCAATGAGTGTTTTTAAATGTTGTCAATATGTGGCCTCTTGGCATTATAAACACATTAAGGGAACTTAGAAACTGTAACAGCTAAGTGACATTGTGTATGACTCTTAATTTCTTCCTGAAAAAATACATTGAGCCTCTATTGTGTCATTGTCATCTTCCCCCCAAAAATTGGAAGACAAACACTGAGCTCCAGGAGTTAAACCATGCATGCCTGTTTGCTTGTCTCCTTGTAAAGTAAGTGCAGTTACAAAACAAAGAATGTAGGATGTACTCGGGTGCAAATTCAGCATCAGGAGAAAAGGCACCTCACTGGGATACATTCTCCAAAATCGGTGCTGCAACAGAGGAATCCATTGGCATGTGTTGGAAAAAATCTGTGTCACTCCTACCATAGTTATTCCTCTTCACAGAGCTGATGACTGCATCCTGTGGAGTAAACAGGTGCTGGTGGGAAACAGGAAAGAAAAGGGAGAATGTGGGTGCGCACACACAGATGAATGGTTATCTCCGTCAAGATAGCCACACCCTTTGTTCCATTAAAGAACTCTATGCCAACCAGATAGAAGAATATAAGGTGTTTCCAAATGGGTTGCTCCCCAAATGGTGGCAGACATTTGTGGCTCGCTGTGTAGGTGCCCTGCAGGAAAACTTGTAGACAAATGTGGGGGTGAGGGGAGCAACTAGAATACTAAGATTGTAGAGCACCTGAGAAATAAGTGACAATGTTCAAAGTTTTTTCTCCATTTAGCAAGAAGCCCTTTTTTTCCCCTTAGTTTTATGATAAAGTACATTCTCATTGCAACACATTTTTTATGTCCTTTAATGCCAGGATTGTTTGAACCAAACTCATTCCAACTTAACTGACTTGACAGAAAGATGTTATTTCTCAATGGAAAGTGGGGCAGAGCAAGAATATGTGGTTCACATCTCTAAATTGAGATGCATAGAGCTCAAACATAGAGCAAATCCATTTACCATCTTGGGAGACGGCTGTGGCAAATAGAATCAATCCATCTACCCAAAACTTTTAGAGCCAGGTCAGTAGGTGACAGAGTCCTGGAGAAATCAAAGGCTTTGAAAATCCTTCCCTGTATTCAACTACTGACAACTATGGCTTTATACCAGTGACCAAAAGGAAGTAAGACCAGCTTTACATCAATCATTAAAAGCAAAAGAAAAAGTAATTTACTAAAACCATTTAAGGTGACTTTAATGGCTGGGCTTTTCCTCATAAACTATATGACATCCTGACAGTCATGAGAAAATACCTTTGCAAGCTATTGTAGTCTATTAATGAGTTTTCTTCACCTTTTAAAAAAGATCTCACTATAAATACTAGGCTTAGAAATTAAACTTTTGCAATCTGGATTCAACCTTCCAGATTCTCTTCCCCATATCTCATACTGTTAATGAGAAAATTCAGTAGGAACATTATTGATTGCATGCTGCCAGTGAGCTGTATTATCTAAGAAAGTTTGTCATTTCTAACTCATAACTCTAACAAAAAATGTCTCTAAATATTCAGTGTTCATTCTCATTGGAGTGTGTCCGTAAGCACTTTAGAACATCTGATGCTTTGTGGTTTCACCATCTATGTAATGACCTCAAGAACAGGTCACTGTAACAGTTTTTCAATGGCTTGTCATAGGCCAGGGAGTTGAATCCCAGCAGGAAAAAAAAAGTTGATGTATTCTGTACATCTGAAACAATATAAGTTAAAAGCTTGAAACAAAACAACTAGGTCTGAAGCTACTGAGAAAAATGAAGCAGTCATGTGTTTTTATCACAGAATGGATGCAAGGTTTGTCCTTGGTGAATCCAGGCTCAAGTATTAGCTGACTTGAAAGAAAACTGAGGAGACATACCAACTCTAACCCCATTGTCCTTCTTTTACATGTGCCTAAAGCAATTTTTACTTTTCAAAAACTTATTTTGAGTTCTCAACTTTAGTCTTATGTCTGTTTCATGTACTTTCACTGTCAAAAATTTGAGCAACAAAAATGATAATGACTGGTGGAATAAAACCCTCTGCTAGAAACATGAATTCTTAATGTCACTAAAAAAATTGGGATTATCTTTAGGGGATGCTAGGCAACAAACTCACTATTTTAAAAATAAAGAAGGGGAAAGAATAAGATGTTTATCCTGTCTTGCCTGTGCAGTGTTTCCTTAGGGAAAGAAAATAGGCATATTTTTCTTTATAGTAGAATTCCTGACAATAAAGGAAGGAGAGAAGGAATTAGAACATCACTTAATGAAATAATGGGTCTAGACAATGATCATCAATGGTAGCAAAATCCATGAAGTGAGAGGCTGATGGAGGATATTATGATGGATGGACTGACAATGCCAGACTCTACCAATCAATATTATTACAAAGAGACACGAGATGTCTCCTGATGGCAGGACCCATGAAGACTCCTTAGTTTAAAAAGAAAACTCTAACATAAATCTCATTGAGTCACAAGATCTAACTGCCAAATTACAGAAAAAAAGAACAAACTGGATGGTGTAGAGAAGGGGAGCAATTAAGGTCTCAAATTCATGATGTAATCCACAAAAATCTATAATGTGGAAAATTTGAAAAGATCAGGTCTTTTGTCCTGTCAACAGATCAATGGCAGGGTGGAGGGGTGGGGGGCAAGGAGGAGGAGGAGGAAGCTATAGATCAGAAGATCAGAAAACATTTACAATCGACATATCAACCAAAGGCAATTTGTGAACTTTATTTGAATCCTTAATCCAGAGAGGTCAACTATTTTTTAAAGGCAGTGGGGGAAATTTGAATAAAGATTTGATATTAAAATTATATCTTAAAACTAAGGTATTATTTTTTTTTAAGCAAGTACATATCCTTCAAAAATTGAACTATTTATAGATCAAATGATATCTGGGGTTCACTTCAAACCCATCTAGTAGCGGTAGGGGAGGCTATGTGGTACAGATGAAATAGAAAGGAGCATGACCTAATGACTGATTATAGAATGGGCATATGAACACTCATGAGTCTCTTGGTTTTTGTGTTTCAGTTTTTTAGGATGCACTTAAATTTTTTTGTAATGAAGCTTAAAATTTAAGAAAATAGGGAATAGAGAACAGAAAGGAAAGGAGAAATAGGGGAAAAAACAGAGAATCATGACACAATATTCCCCACCAATAAGCATTAATGACATACAAATTATTTTTGAGTTTGTGTAGAAAGAAATTAAACTAGAAAACGGTATCTGTGGTTCTCAGCAGAATGAACTTACAAGTTGTCCCTCAGAATGAAACCCAAGTCAAGGAAATCTGATAGTGTAAACCACCAGATAACAATCAAGTTCACTTGTTATTGGAATATTTAAATAACCGAAGGGGACACACCTGAAGTCAATACATTTATAATAACGGAAGAAATTTTAAGCCAAATATTGTGATCTAGCATTCCCCAGGACTAGGTGATTTTTTTTAATGAAAATTTGAAACAAAGTAAAACAGAACTATAATATTCATACTTAAAAACAATTAAACCCATCCTTGTTAGAGTGTAAACTCCTATGAGGGTAGATGCACTTATATCCCAGCACAAAAGCCACGCTTTTCATTTTTCAGTGATTAATGCCTGACTTTGTTGCTACCTATTGGAAAGTTATCAGAATGCCCTGAAGCTCCATTAGCAGGCAGTGGCGGAATGGGACGGAAGCAGTGTAGCAGGTGTGCCAAAGCTAAGAGGTTTTTGGTCCAAAAAGCAAAATGGTTGACACCCAAATAATGACACACTTCTTAAAAAAGCGTTAGGGCCAACCTTGGCTGGAGCACAGAAGGTGCCCAGAGCCATGCCTTGCCTTCTCCAACATTTCAGTTTTAATGTATGTTAGCAGCTAAGGAAGAAGGGACAGTCTGCCATTGAACTACTAGACACAGACCCAACGGGGGGTGATAGTAATAGATGGGCTTGGGGTTGGAAGCACCCTAGAAGAATAGGTTGGTCAAGAAATCGGGAATCATCCTGATGGCAGCCCAGAGAAAACCGGTTTGTCCTGCAGATTTCTCAAAGGGAGGAGTTGAGAGGAGGAGGTGCTGGGGTTGTACTGGAGAGGGTGGGTTCATCCTTAGAGCTTATTCCAGCCTAGAACCCTGAATACGGGTGATTTCAGTGTTTTAATAGTCTCCAGCCACCTAGGAACAAGACATCCGGGAAACTCCACAGAATGAGGAGAGCCAAGCTCTTGGAAATAGAACATCTGTAAATGAGTTTTTCCTATTTTAATTTCAACATGTTGTCTTCTCTCTCCCACATGTAGAAATGGCTTTGGCTGTTTGCATTCTCTCCTCGCTATTCTAAGTGCTCGCATGCTGTGCGCAGGCACATACACATGTATGTCCATTCTTTCCCTCCTTCTCCCTTCTCACCTCTTTTCTGGCTTGCCAGACTTTCTTCTCCAGTTCCTCAGGTATCATTTTACCTCTAAGGGACACAGATTTGAGACTTTCGGTTATGTTTAGTAGTTAACAGACAACGATACTGCTTTATAAACCGCATGAATTTTTCCGTCCACCCACCAGGCTTCCGGATCCCATCCCCATTACCTTCCATCTGTTTCCACAAAGCAAACATTCTCGGAGCCAATCCCAAGAAAAGAGGCTGCCTTCTTCATCGAGTAATGACACTGAATTAAAAGGGACGGGAGAAGGGAGAGACATGAATACATGGCACAGAAAAAGCATTGCTTATTAAAAGTAGATGAAAGTATAGCCCGAGCACAATCTTTGGGATATTAGCATAAAAAAGTAATTTGAGTTCCTTAGCGTCGTAATTGAGAACATTCACTTTGGGGTCAGAGAAACCAGGATTTAATGACAAGTGTTCCAGTTACAGCTATGGAGTCTTGAACAAATATGTACTGTCCAAGCCTCAGTTTCCTAATCTTTAAAGGGGTCATGCCAATAATGCCTACTCGATCTGCTTGTGCTAAAATAAAATGGGTTAATAACCCAAGCCTGGCATGTGGAACCAACCAGGACACTCAAGGCTGCTGTTTTCCGTGCCATTGAGAAAGTTTCTTCTGATGCTACTCATAAGACATAGTATTAATGGGAACTTGGAATCTAGTCCACTGCTGACTCGAAACCCTCTGAGACGGCAAGACACTCTCGAAGATTGCAATCACAGGCTAGAGAGGAATTTAATTATTTCCTAGAGAAAACAATGAGTTATCAGTGCTGATCAGACACTTGACCAATCCTGTTTAATACTGAACAGAAGACTGAAATTAGACACACAAGAATGTGGCTAAAATCAGAACAAAAGTAATAATAGACAAGCTACTCAGCTATAGCATGAGTGAAGATAATGGATGATCATGGAATGAAGTCTGGTCTATTTATTGCTAAATAGTAGTATGTGCTTTACCTTATTGGGCCTTCTCTATACTACATAAAGCTCCTAAAATAGCATTCAAACATCGGATATGTCACTCTTCATACATTAGTGGGGACAGGTGGTCAATTTTTTCACGCCAGAAAAATGACGGTGCTAAAGGACATTATTGTACCAAAAAAAAACTTAGTAATTTGTAGCTATGAATACATTAAAAGAATAGTCATGCCTTCACACTTCACTTGATATATTCCCTCAAATGTGGTAAATTTTTCCTCCTTTTAAGAGTTTTATTGGGAGCTCTTTCACTCTGTAAAAATAAATGCAGCAGTAACATCAGGAAAAATGAAAGCATTCTAAATTTGCAAATATCAAATAGGACACATCCAAAATGCCTATAGGATGCTTTCCTTTCAAGTTCTGACAAGACCATATGCATATTGAAGAGTAACAATGTACACGGAAGTGTAATTCTCTACTCGCTCCACCAGCGTGTGCTGCTTGGAGGTAACCTGCCTGCCATAGCTAAGGTGACATAGCTCGGGTGAATTGTTTCTCGCAAGAGTTGGGCTCTGGCAACCAAACAGCTATTGATTTCATAATGATAAATGCCAGCCTACTCCACTGACATCTAACTACAAGGAAAATCACAATGCTCTCCCCCAGAGAAATAACAAAATACCTCCAACCGATGGATCTGCTGAATAAAAAACTTTTAATCAGAATAAGAATAGTGGAGCTATCTTAAGTACCTCAAGGCAAAGTACAACCCAATGTCAATCTGAGATAGAGACAGATCAAAAAAAGTCTGAAAAACTGAAATTTAAACATCTGAAAGCTTCAGAAAAGTAAGAGTCCTTGAAGGGGGGGGGAACAAAAGAAGGGGATGCTTCAGACATGCTGAGTAGTTTCAAGGAAAAGAAGAACCTAGAAGGCTGGAATTCAGGAGTAACAACTGCATTTAGAAACAGTGGCTGTTTCTATCACTGGCAAAAGGCAAGTCAGTTGTTCTTAGACGCAACCTCCCCGTAGGTTTCATAAATCTACAGAAGACGAAAAAACTCTCAGCAGGTGTTCATTTCTATAAAGATAAAATAGCAAGTGCCTACATGAAAGACAACATTGAGCTGGAGTTTTACTTTCCTGACTCCCACAGGATCTTTTCCCCCCCCCGCCTCTCTCTGTGACCTTGAGCATCTCGATGAAGTGCTGCTTTCTCATCAATGTACCCTGTGCCCTGGATACCTGGACTCCAGTGCTGACTAATTTGATTCTCAAGTTAGCTGGTAGAATGGGGCATATAAATGTTAAAGAATGAAGAGAATGTCCAAGGGATGTCTAAGGACACACAGCTGGTTTAATTCCCAAGGAGCCCAGAGTCAGAAGCTAGATAGAATGAACCCAGCCTCGTGCTCTACAGGATATCCTGTGAAGCACCTGCTTGCCTGTGGATAAGACATGCAATCACATCCCATTGCAGCTCAGCCTCATTCATCACCCAGTGAACAGAAGAAAGTGAATGAGGCACCTGGGGTGCAAAAGTTAAAGACATGACCCTGAGACACACCCTAGATGCCTCACTTGCCACTCCTAGCCCCAACCCTGCTAAAGAGGAGCTAGGCCATTGATCACTGGCCTGGGAGGTAAGGGTTACTTTTTCACCTTCACTTTTTAGTGGCAAATCATGGTCACTACTTTATGCTAATTCCAGAAGTGATCTGAATTACACAGGAACACTTCTATACACCTAAGGAATTTATATCAAAGTGCAAACCAAGCCATATATTACTATTTCTCCAAAAGTCCCTTCTCTTTGATTCCTATTTAGCAGTAGAGAGGCCACCTTGGATATATTGACAGTGCAGAAGTCTTTGTCATGGTCTTGTAGGTCTCTATAAATAGAATTACAATAAAAATCTAAAGTGTGCAAGAATACCTTCAGTGGTGGGTACATATATTCTGCATTTGATGGTGTAAGATAGAGATGGAGTAATTTGGGTTAGCACAAAAACAGGAAAAGACCCCCTAACAGAACAGGACTAGGCCATGAACCAAACACCTAAAAATATATGGGAGATGGCTGGGTGCAGTGGCTCATGCCTGTAATCCCAGCTAGTCAGGAGGCTGAGGCAGGAGAATCCCTTGAATCAGGGAGGCAGAGGTTGCAGTGAGCCAAGATCACAACACTGTACTCCATCCTGGAGACAGAGTGAGGCTCCATCTCAAAAAATGGGGGAGGGGGAGCGGGGGTAGCAAAAAGACTAACGGAGTTTAAGATTGTTTAGTAAACACAACCTTCTTTGTTTTTTAATGAAATTGATTTGTTGTAATAAGTAGTAAAGGCAGTCAATAAAATATGAATTAAAAAAGCAAAATGGTATGACCTGACTCTGAGGGAGCAGGGAAAGGAATGGGCTGCAAAGCAGTGTCTCAGCCAATGGAGTGGAAATATAAATTCAAAGCTGCAGTGTGCTCAAAGTGATGTAATTTTTCCATGGAATTCACACCTGGTTTTTGGTTTTTCTGGCTCCAACTTCTGCTGGCATGTTAGCCAAGGCATCTATTTTGCCTCTATTTGGAAAATTTTTAAAAACCTCTTAGGTCTGCTTTCACAACTACATAAGGTTTCAATTTCCTTTCACTCCCAATTCACCAGCCCCACCTGTTACTGATCTTTCCCAGGCATAATCTTTATTCTAAGCTTCCATATAATACCGTTTTCCTTTCCATGGCAATTATTCCAGAAAAGAACTCCCGCAAGTTATAAACCAAATGAAGAATGAAAAAGGCAAAAGCAAAAAAAACCTGAGCTGACAACGAGCTTTCCCAAGCTTGGAAAATAGCAGTTTGAATGCAGAAGAGACTCCTCATTTGTAATCTGCGGGATCCCTTACATTGAAATATCCAGGGCTGAAGCATGAAGAAGGAAACTCTATTCCATAATACTCCCAAATAATAAAGCATTTTTCCCAGCTGTCCGCATTACCAAACATTCTTCTCTTGGTACCGAAAGAACATCTTGTGCAGAAGGGCCTCGACTGGCTGAGTTAAGAATCTTGGGCTACATGATTCTTCCCAGTTGCCTCCCTTCACTCACTCACTTAGTTCTTGGTGCTGAATGAACCAGAGCCAAAGGTCAGACGAGGCGAGAGGAAAACAGGAAAGTGATCAGATTCTCTCCTACGGAGGAGAAATTCATGCACCATTTGTCCTTTTGCAATAATAAACTAACTTTTGCACTTAGAAATGATAGATACGGAAAAGCCCAGCTGGAAATAACAAACTCTCAGATTTTGTCCACTTCATGGTCGTGACAGGATACCTGGTATTATTTCAGAAGGTAAGAAGCTAAACTCGTCCTGCCAGGAACCTGGGTGATAAAGCAGTCACAGACAGACATCCACTGGAATCACACAAGAATAGGAAAGGAAAGATCTCTCCCATATAAAGGCTGCAGTTAAGCTGTGCCATCTACTTCTGCCCACTTTGTTATAGCTAGATCATTCTTCTCCTCCTAATATTTAAAAAAAAATCTATTATGTCCCAGATGCTACTTTACATGCAATTACTCACTTAACATTTGCCAAAACTCACTAATCAGTGACGACTGTGTGGCTGCTGGATTTTTCTAATCGTTCCAGCTATTCACTGTCCCATGTATGCAAACCCTTTGGTGACTTTGCAGCAAGTCCCCCCATGAGGTGGAGTCTTTCTTCTGACATCTTGGATCTGGGCTTATGGATGGGACTTCACCAAGAACATGTGCCCTTTCATACCTGCACCATTGCCATGAAGACACACCTAGACTGACCTGCTGGGAATATGAGAGACCAAGGAGCAGAGAGGCGTCACTGGAACCATCCCAGCTGAGCCACTCAGATGGGCCATAAGCCCCCCCAAACTCTAGACATGGAAGGGGCCCAGCCAAAAGCAGCAAATCTGCTCACCTATCTTGAGGCTTATAAGTGATAATATACAGTTAAAGAATGTCAACTGTATATTTGGGGTGATTTGCAGAGCTGATAAACTTATTTTTACAAGTTAGGAAACTGAGGCACAGAGAAATTAAAGTTACTCAATAAGTGATGGAGGCAGAAGTGGAATCCAGGCAGCCTAACTCAAAGCCAATGCACTTATGAACAATCTGACCTCCTACTTGAGTGGAAAGTAAAATAAGAGATGGAGAACTGTGGCCATCTCTCTCTCTCTCTCTCTCTCTCTCTCTCTCTCTCTCTCTCTCTCTCTCTCTGTGTGTGTGTGTGTGTGTGTGTGTGTGTGTGTGTGTGTGTGTGTGTGCATTTTCATTGTTACTGAATATCTTCCTTTTCTCTTGAAAGGTAAGGTACACATCCCTTATCTTAGCCAATCAAAGCAATCATTTTACAAGGAATGTGAGAAGACATAGCTAAGATCCATGCTGTCCATCTAAGTACTAACAAATAAGACACTCAAAAAAAATTCAGAGATGGTACTTTCAGATTAAATATTCTTTGCTTAAAATGTTGTTAGACTATATTTTAAATAAAGGTAATTATACAAAATTAAACCAGGATTTCAGCATATTAGTCACACGGGGAATAGGACAAACTCGAATCGGGAGTCCTCAAACAAGCCCTCTTAAACATGCATTCTCAGAAAATCTATATTCAATACCAAGAATTTTTACCTCCACAGATGTGAAAAGGATTAATCTTGGCAACCCAAACAGCCCCTTCTCCTTAATATCAGGACGATATTTGTATCTAGCTAAATTCATTGCATACATATTGGACACTGAACCACCTGCAAAAACAAAAAATGGCATATTTACAGCATGAAGTTCTAGCTCACGAAAGCTGAATACAGTGAGACGTGAATGGCCATGGGTGCTTCAGTCTGCTGAAAAATCACTGGGACAGGCCCGTGAGAATGCTGTCCTGCTCCCATTACTCTGAGTATTTCATTATATACCCTAATCTCTAATTCCAGAACTTTTATTCTCAAAACAAAAGATGAATTTTGGTTTATTCTCATTCCAGGGTTTTTTCAAACCAAAAGTCTCGATCTGTGAGCTCTGGACTTAGGGCCAGAGCCTACATCTCCATGATTTTTTTTGTCTGTCACCTAATCAGTAAAATTGAAATGATATTTGTTGGTTTCTTGCTCCAAAAAGGACTCCGGGATAAACGAATGTAATTCAGAAAACTTAAGTAAAATTGATTTTAAAATTTAGAGGACTTATAGCCCTTCCAAACTCCCAGCAGCAAATCAACTCATTTGTGTTAGATATAAATCCAAAATTGTAGGCATCTCATTAGTTATGTATGTCATTTAGCTTTAACACAAAATATCACTCTGGAGAAAGGCACAAGCTAGATTCTCGCCAAATAGAATTATTATCCAACTTTTTGTCATGTAAATCTGCAAGGAGTTGTTCCTCATACGGATACATTTTTACATGCTTGTAAGGTTGATCTCAATAACTAATTGTACTCACCTGGGTTAAATATTCCATCCCCTTCTTTCCAGCCAATAAATTCAATCATTTTCTTCAGAACCGCTTCTTCCACTAAGAGAAACACTGGGGACACCTCATACGTATAACTAGATGGATATAAAAAACACTTCACTTCTACGACTAGAGTCAAAACATCCCTTTGGTGTTCCAAGAAATGCACACAGAGTTCTATTAAACCAAGTGGCTGCCACTTCGGCAGTCTTTGGAAATTTATCCATTGAAAAAAGAATTACCCCATTAGTGACAGCACTAGTCATGGTTAGATAAAAACCAATAGCCGGTGGCCTTAGGGATCTGCAAGCTGCTGCGGCACTCTTACTTTCAAGAGAAACCTCAATTCCGTGAGGAGAGAAAGGCAATGCACTTGCATTCTATGTATTAGCTATGAGCAGTGGCCATTTCACTCTTTGGATGCTTGGAATACTGCTTTGAGTGCTGTTGATGATCAAAGAAAATCCATTGTCATGGTAATCGGGTTTTACCAGATTACTACCTTGAGTATGCTAACATCCCTTCGAGTTATTCTAAGTGGAGACGACTCCACCTGCACCAGGGTTTCCTCTGCTACACTGTCTGTATTAATGAGGAGTGCTCTGTGAGACATCTCTCATGTGATGATTTTACTACAAAGCACCACCCCAAATCCCCTGTCGATGCAGGATGTGTTGCTCTGGGCTGGAAGGCTGTTGTCAGAGCATTGCTGTTTTAGCCCCTTTAGAGATACCCTCAACTGCAGGGATCCAACTCCTTCGAGGTCACACTCCTTGTGGTCTACTGCTGGAGAGGTCTGGCTGTCTGGACTCAACTTCAGACCACTCTGAGGGACCACTGTAGTTTCAGATATCTCCAAGCATTAGCCAAGATTGTCATGGAACCTGCATGGCAAGTTGACACCTATCTCTGCCCGTTCCTGCATCCTCCTCCTCCTTCCCCAGTCGCCCATGTGGATGCCAAGGGTACTCCTAATCAATGTCCCACTCGCTAAACACCATCGAGAGCAGCTTTCCTGGGAATCTGTTGGAACAGTCACCGTGCCTTGTTTGGTAATGTTTATCTTCTCTCTCCGGACAACTTGAGGTTGACTACATATCTATGATCTCCTTCTCAATTAAGTGATTACATCAAATTGTATCTGAATAAATGTATACTCTAAATAAGTTAAGCAGACACATTTAGATGTAGAGTAACAGAATGTAATGCAATTATATTAACATCTGGTAGGGAAAATTTGGGATTAAGGCATAAGTTGATCACCTATGTACCACCTACCTATGTGTCAACTCTACACATATGCCATCTTAAAAATAAGATTGTTTTTTAACCATGCTATGAAACCAGTGTACATACCCAAAAGTATGAAAACATATGTTTATGTGAACCTACAAATATATATATATATATATATATATATATATATATATATAATAGTTACTTGTTCATAATAAAAAATGTTAAGCCTGTCTTTGAAAACTGGCTCAATTGTAAACCTAGGAATCAGCCTGGAGGTGGAGGGGAAGACAAGATAGAACACACTCGTGGGTTGGCATATTTTGAGTGGATGGTTTAGCTTAGCACAATTTAACACTTCTTCAATCTGAAATATTTAGAGATTTTTGAACTTACATGAAGAGTTAGAAAACCTGGGGTATACAAGAAAAGACTGGAAAAATACAAAATTTTACTGTCTCTTCTGACTTACTCTCACTGTAACTCATTGTAACCTGGTATCTGCTGTCATCACTCCATCAAAACGTCCCTAAAGTTGCCAGTGACATCCATGTAGCTAATCCAGTGGACTGTTTAGGCTCTTAGTTGAACATTCAATAACATGTGACACCAGGCGCACTCCTTGTGGCTGCCACAGTTATCCTTTTGGTTTTTTTCCTTCTAGCCACTGTAAGCTAACCCAGCTCCTCCTAACCATTAAGTGGTAGACGTCCTCAAGGCCCTGCCTTGAGCCCTCTCTCTCCCCTCTCTATACTCTGTCCCCTAGGCCATGGTTTTTTATCTTGCCTTCCCATTAAAATCACTTGTTGAACCTTTTAAATATATCAATGCATGAGACACACCTACAGAAATTCAGATTTAATTGGCTTGGGTTGGCACCCAGGTATCAATACATGTTTCTAAAATTCGCAAGTGATTCTCATGAGAAGTCAGGGAGGTGAATCACTGACATAGGGACTATCCTCCACGTCCACCATTTCAATTACCATCATGTTACCGGTAACTCTTAAATTTATACCTTATAGACATCAGAATTCCAGGCCCATGTATTTCTCAGCTTAGTTCATATATACTTTTCATATTTTAAAGTCACCGCAAACTCGAATGCCCACAACTGAAAATGGAATGCTTGCTCTCTCGCCTCCTTCACCATATACTTGAAAACCAGTTCCATCTACCAGTGCTGATTTCTATGAATGAAATGACTGTGAACCCAGCTATGAAAGCTAGAAACCCAGACGTTGCCTCAGAAACCACCTCCCTCTTACCTTTTTCAAGATGTGTATCCAGTCCCTTGTTTTATTTTCTGAACGCATTCTTTGCTGCTCTATTCCTACCTCTTCCCTCCAAGTCCAAGCTACGTTCCTCTCACCTGACTAAAGAAATGCCTTCCTAATGAGTGCCCTCCAGCCTGCCCTTCATATTTTCAGACTTTTTTTCAATAAGCAAATGGCATCTAGTGATCTAGAAACCTTCAATGGCTTTTTGTTACATTTAGAATGACTCATAAACATGGTCAACTGGGCCCTATATGTCTGGCTCTTATTTCTCTCATCTTATTTTCCACTATAGTCCCTGTATAACTCTCGGCTGTACCCACCCTGACCCTTCAGTTCATAGAGAATGTCATGCCGTGTCCTGCCACAAGGCCTTTAGACATGTCATTCCGTCTATTTACAACTCATCCCTCACCTTTTCACCTAATAACGCTTATTCTCCAACTGTCACCTTTACAGTGTGCACTTTCCTGAGCTCTCAACTAGGAAAAATTGCGCCATTCATATTAATACGTAGAACACTGTGTACTTTTCCTTCAGATGAGAGTTTGGATTTTACATTAATTTTTGTGGATCACTTCGATTAGCATTTTTTTCACCAGATATGCCCCATGAGGACAGAGTCGAGGTTTATTTATGTTCAATATGTCTATCACTTAGCACAGAAAAGGGCTTTTCATGCAGGTACAAATAAAAAATTGCCTAATCAAATTTCTTGTCTGTTAAATGGAGGTGATAATCACCTTTTCCATCTGATGGTACCACTATTTAAATCAAATAGCTATTTGAATATTGATAAGCATTATAAAACTATTCCATTATTTACAATGACACTATGAGAAAGAAACCATTAAATAGAAATTTTTGAAACAAAATTTCATCTACTTAGTCTCTAATCCACGTTTGGTGTAAAATTTCTGTAGCATGGCACTTACACACTTGGATTCAATGCTTCTGTCATAAATCGGGCCACCAAGGAGGAATAATCAAGTCCAGCATACAGCTGGTTGAAAAATCTTGGGTGGCCTGTAAGTTTAAAACAGAGTATTCATCTATGCAGCAATTAAAAAACCTCATACAGCATTAACATAAAGTGAGTCTTGCAGAAAACAAAAGCAGACAGACACAAAAGACTACATATGATGTAATTCCATTTATGACATTCAAAATCAAAGCTATCTAAGGAGATTAGAGGTTAGAATTCTAGGTACTTTGTGGAAAGAATTATGGATTGGGAAGGAGCTTCTCAGAGCCTCTGGAGGGCTAGAATTGGTCTATATCTAGATTCAGGCAATGGCTCCCTTGCATAGCTATGTACAAATTCATACTGAGCACTTAAGATTTGTGCACTTCATTGATTATAAATTACCTCATTCTGAAAAATATTCAAAACAGCATTATATACAAGAAAAATCATGTTGAAGACCCACCTCAGATCCCTTGCTACTAATCAATGTTTCTAAGTAAATTCTGAGTTATCTCTTAAGAGTTTTGATTTACCTGCTCCTCTTTTTCACAACCTAGACCCAAACCAAAACCCTTAAGTATTATTTGAACAGTTTTCCCAAGGATCACAGGGTACTGCCTTTTTACTGAAAATGTCAATATTAACTTCTCTCACTTCATATACATTTTGCTCACAACTGAGTTCACCCCAGGCTATGGCAATGAGCAGCATTCTCATTTTTCAGATTAGACCCATGAGACTGGCAGTATGTAGATGGGGTAAGATGTGACTCATCATGAGCTTACGTACACTTATGATTCAATTTGCTTCCAAGGCAATCGCCTTTAAGACACAACGTCTCATTCCAATTTAAAATTTTTTCCCCTCATATAAAAGGTCTCATAAAGGTTATTGGCTTTACACCATGTGAATAATTACACCATACACCCAGCTAACTGGCTTGATAGTCTCTCACAGGAAGCTCAGCATGACAGAACAAAGAGGCAGGAGTCTATTTCTACATCTGAGTATTTGGAAATCATTTTATCTGGTGACCTCTCATTACAACTTACAGCATCTGGTTTTAGTTTATTTTAGGATTTTTTTGGTCTTTAAGGGTTCAAGAAAAAACAAAAATCTCAAGAAAATCTTTTCATCTAAAACAAAAACTTCCTCTGATCTGGCCAAAATAAAAGGCATGGCTACAAGTAATTTTAATAAGATTTTTTCTTTTAGTTCTGTGTTAATTTATGATTGATTTCCATGGTAACGTTATGGAAAATATCCAGTAAACTGAAAAATCTGCATTAAATGTCATTCTACACTTCTGACATGCACTGTAGTAATAAGATACCTATCTCTGCTTTTGAAATGCTAACGGTTTTTGATACACCAGACTTTCCCAAGGGAATATAATCCAATTATTAGCCAGAATTTTATGTTCTTTCCACTAAATTTAGTCCAGTGCCAGAATTTACAAAGTAATGCCCATATGGTCTTAAGCACTAGATTACCTTTACATTATACTGAAAAATATTTTGGAAGGTTATTCTCCCATTTTTGAAACTTGTTCACTGGGTGAACAGGATATTAACAGGTAAGCTGGAATGGGGCCTCAGCGTAACATTGACATCCCATCACTGCATGTACAAAGATCGCAGTAGTTAGGACATCATTGAAATAATTTCCACAAAAACTTAGAATGTATTCATTTGCCTTATCCATCTACAGGTTTTTATTTTTTGATTCTGCCAGATTTGATCAAATAGTTCGGCAATTACCAGTATCCAAGAGTTAATCAGTGTGTTCCAAATCTATTTCTGTTCATATTAAAGGTATCTTTTGAATTACTTTTTGCATACTCTGGGCCATCAAGATTTAAAATCCCTTACCAAATTTATGTAATCAAAATTCCATTTGCCAGTTTGGTCTAACATAAATAAGTAGCAGTGATAACATATGCTATTGATTACAAGTAGTATGAGGGTTGGCAAGGAGAAGAGGATATTTACATACAAACACTAACACCAACAGTTTTCCTATCAACTTCTCTTTGGCCTTGGCAATGAATCTGGATTTAGGGATTAAAGGGACCATTACAAAAACATCAGAACCACTAATTTTTTTTTATCCAGATTTCTTATTCCTTAAACATAGCTATGCTTAGCTTTAAGAAGTAAATAAATGCTTTACAAACATAACTTGTCAGAGGTACAGATCAAGGAAACAAAGTTCTTACTAGTTTTGACGCTATAGCGTATGACATCCCGGCAGAGTTCCAATAGTCTGTGTGGTGGCTCTCCCGAGTCCCTCATCTCCAAATCAAGAAGCTGTTTCAGTTGTTCAGGAGGCTTCCATTCACACACCTGGAGATTCAACCGTGACAGAGTGAGTAGCCACCACAGACAGGTGTTGAGAGGGTGTTAGGGACAGGGACTCTACAAAGCTTCCGGGCTGTGGGAGATGTAAACGTGCAACTATAGTTCAAACTAAAAGAACTGTGACAGTAATGTGGATGTTGATGGGACAGATGAGGGGTACCATCCTAGATTCGCAAGGTTAAGGCAGATTTCCTAGAGATACTGATATCTAAGTTGTTATACAGATAAGAGTAGAGTGAATCAAGCAAAGCTTAGGGGTGTGGTAATACAAGAGAGGTTCTAGATGAAAGTGACAGAAGTAACAAAGACCAAAACTAAAATCAAGAATAAAATAAAAAATTTGGATCCTATGGCATATCTGAAAAGGAAGCTTGGTATGGCTAGAAGATGGATTTTTGAGAAATGGAGAGGGAATAAATCTGAATAGTGAAGTCGTTTTCTCTCTGCGTGTACCCTGCCCAAAGCGGTCTATCAACCTAGCAACCAGAATGAGGCTCCTAAACAAGCCACGCCCATTCCTCCATTCAAATACATCCCGTGGCTCCCTATTTCTTTCAAAGTAAAAGTTGAAATCATTACAAAGACATAAAATGATGCTTTATGATCCACTGGTATCATTTTTTTCTCTAGTCTCATCTGGGACTACTTCCCTTCTGGCTGACTCTGCTCCCACCACCCTGGCCTCCTTGCCGTTCTTAGCTACACGAGCGATGTTTCCACACTGGTGTCTCTGTACTGTCTGTGCCCTCTGCCTAGAATGCTTTTTAAAATATCCTTACAACTAGATCCCTCACTTACTTCAGAGCTTTGCTAAGAAGTTACCTTCTCGGTGATGGCAATCCTGACTCCCTTACCTAAAATTAAAATCTACCCAATTACCTCTATAAATCCCACTTAACCTTTCCTAGTATTCCTTTTTCCAAAGCACTTTCCACCCTCAAATATACTGTTTATTCTATATAATCTACATACAAGCAGATGTCTGTCTTTTTGCTCATTGATCCCAAGTGAGTACTACAGAGTCTACACATAATAGTGCTTAATAAAGATGGGTTGAATAAATAAACAAGGCTCAGGTTATAACGGGCTTTATGTGACATGTTAGTTTGAACTTGGCTCTAAGGAAGCCATTTAAATGTTTAGAACAGGAATAAAAAGATCACAGTTGTGTTTGGGGCAATTGCTTTAGTTGTTATGTGGAGATTCCAAATACAATTGGATATAAAGGTAACTTAAACCAGGCAAGAGAAGGTAAGGATCTGGATGAGGGTCAATGCTGTATGAATTATGTATTTTGGAGATATTTAAAATACAGAATCACTAGAAGTTGAGAATCGGATTGTGAGGGTGAGAGGAATGAGCCAGGGATCATCCCTAAGATTTCAGCGGGGACACAGATCGGATGGCAGCAATGGGGATAGCAGGAGAAGGATCTGGTTGGGGGTGGTGTGGGGATGATGCATTTATGAGCACGTTTAGAACAAAAGCCACCTTCAGAACATTCAAAAATTGTATAGCAGTTGATCTGAGGCTCTTGGAAAAGATGGGGGATAGAGCTCCAGGGATATACTATGATGATACAACAGTAGATGATGTGGCTCAGAAACTACAGCAAAGAAGAGGTGCAGAATCTTTTTGGGCATCACCAACACTTAGGAATGGGAAAAGGAAGACTACTGTAGAGGACTTTGCAGAGAGGTAGGGAGAATCCTACGAGTTTAGTGCTACCATCACCAAGAAAAAGGAATGCTTTAGGAAGGAGATAGATGCTCGCCACTGTCAAATACTGCTAAGAAGCCAAATTAGATAAAGACTGAAGTTCTCATGGGATTTATCAACAAGGAGGTGTTCTTGGCAAGAGCAGCTTGACTTAAAGAGGTGGGGGCGGAGGCCAGATTGCTTTGAAGTGAGCATGTAGGAGGTGAAGAAATAGGAGGAGGGAGGGAGTATAGATAATCTCTAAAAATTTTGGCTATGGAGGGGAGGAGAGAGAGGGAAGTAGCCAGGGAGTGAAAAGACTAGGAGGAAATATCAAATTGTGCAAGGAGCACGAAATTAAACTCTGCTCTAACCATGACTGGCAGAGGTAAATTGGAAATACTTGAGACAGTCAAAAGGAATGACTACTGGTGCATTCAACAACATGGATGAATCTCAAATGCATTTTGTTGAGGGTAAACGGCAAGACTCAGACTACTGTGTGATTCTATCAACATGACATTCTAGAAAAGGCAAAAATCATAGGGAAAGGTCAGTGATTTCCAGGGGCTTAGAGGAAAGGGGGGGATTGATTAAAGAGGGGCACAGAATAGTCATGTAACCATTTTAATGAAGATATAGAACAGTTCATATTATAGTAATAGTTATATGACTTCTCAAAACTGACAGAATTTACCCAAAAGGGATAAATTTTACTGAATGTTTAAGAACTGGCTGAAGAATTTTCTACTAAAACTATCAATGATCATCACACCAAGCTTGGATATATATATTTGCAGGCTACCTTTTAATGGTGCTTTGTTGAATCTCAGACAAGGCAGGCTAAGTTAGTAGTATCAAAACTTCACCCTCTTCCCCCAACTCCAGCATAGCTTTCAATCCACCTTACCATGGGTAGCGTGTACATCTACAACAATGTGATTGACTCTGTGGTTCCTTAATTGACAACTTAGGATCTTAAGATATTCCCCTTCTCATTTTTTTTTTACTAGTCCTCTATGTGAGCCCTTCTTTCCAGGCTAAAAAGGTCCCATTGCTGTGTTAAATATATCTTGTCCTTGTGCAATGCTCTTTCCATTATTGACCTTCCTGCTTTCTTCCTGCAGAAATGAGTACCCTAACTCCAACCTTTCTCTTCCCCTGCCACCACCCCTCACTTGCCTTTTACCTTCCACATCTGAGCTCAAAGTATCTGCTCCTGTGTGAAATCCCAAAAGTCTGCTCCAGTCTCAAAGCATTTATAACATCCTCACTGGGAACCCTGCTGTCATTTCTAATGAAAACATATCCTGCCAATTAGATTATAAATTCTGTTCAGAGCTGGGCCTTTACCTTATTTTTCTTTGCATTCTCTAGGGCTGAATATAAAGCCTTATTCATAGCTAATACTCAGTTAATGACTGAATAAAGGCCAACAAAAAAAATACCTGCCAGAGGAGCAGCGTACTGCAAAGTAAAGCAGGTCCAAAGTATCTCACAAGTGCAGAGAAGACCAGAAATTACGTAATTATACTCTCTGGATGAATAAGAAACACCATCAGGATTTTGCCTTGAACATAACTATTCCAAGTTCATGCATCAATCTCTTTTCCTATTCAGTTTCCCACAGGCATGTGGTCAAAAATGCAGAATAAATCACCTCATATTTTAAAGGTATTTATTTCTAACTAATATAACTGGAATAAAAATCTCTTGCTTACATCCATTTGTTGATAATCGAACTCCAACATGAAAACCAATGTGATAAAGGATAATTCAGTAATTTTTAAGAGGCATATGGAGTATTTAAAAGCACAGATTGTGAAGTGAGACTGGCTGGATTTTAGTCCCAGCTCTGATGCTTACTTGTGTATAACCTTGGGCGGGATATTTGACCTCTTTGTGCCTGACTTTCTTTCCCAGCTCTTAAATGGGGGTAATAAATAGTAACTGTCTTTTAGTGTTTTTGAAAGGATTAAATACATAAGAAGTTAGTCCCTAGAAAATACTAAGTACTCTTAAGAGTAGATGCCATAGGCAGCAGTTCTTATATCAATTTGAATTGAATTTGAGCCTGAATTTGAAATCTACAACCAGTAGCTGGTACCAGAAAAGGAGTTGGACTTAACCGTCTAATATTTCTAGGCTAAATTCAGACAAGCTCCTGATTGAACCTCAAGATAAATTTAAAATGTTGCCACATCCTTTTCTATCTTTTGCTTGATTTTCATGAGCAACATAGAGTGTGCACTAGAAAATTGGGAGCAAAGGGCATTAGAGAGTGCACAAGTCAGATTAGCAGGTTACTTAGCTACGTTATTTCCTAGGGCAGGGAGTTTCATCCCTGTGCTTCATAGCCTCATGTGATTAAACTCCAGACTCTCAGCCAATCTTCCCGTGAATGATGACTAGAAGAGGAAGGAATCAACCCTTCAAGGAAAGCAGACGTTGCCTGGAAGGCCGACGCTTTGTATTTGGATGTCCTTTTGAGACAAAGGTATAGAGGAAATTAAAACTTGACCTTCCCATTCCCCTTATATTCAGCCATACTGATTTGGGGAAAATCCAGCTTTCCCATTTCTGCAGTTTCTTACAGGTTTTAATTTTTACCTTCTCATTGACATCTGTAGCCTTCAAAACCACCTCTTCCATTATTAGCCTACAGGCCTCTTCAACAAATTTTTCTCCTGCTTTCGCGTCTGTCATAGGGCCATTCAGCACAACCCCATCCACAAGAACAGCACTCTTCTTACTTGGAATCATCTCTTGTTGATCAGTATCTCCTGGAAACATACAAACTGTGTTTGAGATATAACCTAATTACGTCACATAACAAAGCACAGGGGACAAATGCATCACTATCCCAGCTTCAAATGGCACATCTTTTAATACATGAAGGCATCATTTGAGGTGTTGGGCTGACAATTTCTTATGGCACACAATGGTATGATAGAGTTAAGGAAAATTTTAGAAAGCTCGTAATTTATGGATTAAGTAAATCTACCTTATTATATAAGTTCCTCTGTACTGGGCTGAGTTAGTCATGGAGTATATGACCCCTCAATCAGTACAATTGCAGATCTGATGAGGAAAGGTACCATTCACATATACCATTTTCCATGATAGATGGCGTTTGAAGTTGAAAAATGTTTTCCATAACTAAAGAAAGGAACTACCCCTAAGAGCAAATATTCATTGGCATTCCTACACATGCACGAATAATCAAATGATTTCCATCTAATCCTTTCCTCAGACAGTCATCACTCTACCACAGAAGAGTTTGAGATGGAGGAAGAGGAGTTAGGCATTTAGAGAAAAGGGTGAGGAAAAAGCCCTTCAGATTTATTCTAGAACTAACACCACCTCTATGCTGTACGTATCCCCTTAAAATATAAATACTATAGTTTTAACTTTCAGAATCTGGTACATTGAGTAGACAAATCCCATAATTAAGGTAGCTAGCTTTTAGCTTTATTTCCTTGTACAAATTCCTTGGCATTTCCAAGCCCTAGGATGAAGCTTTGGGCAGAGAGAAAATAGCACCTCTCCTTACCCAAATTATTTTCTCAAGGAAGAGACAATGCATATCCAGATTGAAAGAACAAACTGAATTTTATAAAGATCCATTATGTATTTGATGTATCTGAATTATGGAAGCATCTAAGAGGGATCACCTGGTCACCTTCAACAAAGTGAACATTGAAATCTTCAAAGGCAGAGAGCTAGCTGCTTTCTTGAATTGGTACACACGAATGTTTCTCCAAATGTATGTTCCCTCTTCCTTTAGGTGTATGTAGCTGTTGGCCAATTCCTCTATGAACTAGATTACAAAATTTACACAAAGTTCTATTTTCCATTCTTGCAGCATCTTGTTTAGCATCAGGGAGTGTGGAGGAGCACAAGAAATGTAAATGCAACCCATTTTACTCATTCTTGCAGTCACCTTTCAAATGCATGTACAAAAATCTTCGTAAACAGAAGCCCACGTCTGTTTCACGAACGCAGACACGTACATACACTTTCTCCCTCCCTCTCTCACATTTGTTAGGGATATCATATTTTCCCTTTTAACCATTCCTTAAAAAGCAGCAGCAATATAAACAAGTCACTAATCTTAATTTCATGATTTAAGTCTGTTTAAATGTTCCTCTATATTACAGATACTGCTTTGTCCCTGAGAGCCCCTAACTAATTTTTCGGCCATTTTCTGAAGAGAGCGATAGAGGACAGAAAGCGGCACAATGGTTTGTGTAAACCCATATTAAATGCTTTTAAACGTTTCTACCTTGTAGTTTAAGCACAGGCAAAAGGATGGGACTGAGCCCGTTGAAGACTGTACATGCAGACCATTGCTTAAATGTTACAAGTCAACATGAAAATCTATATCTGAGAAGAAAGGTTACTGCCTACCCAAAATAGCCCTCCTCAGAAATAATTCTGGCAACTCAATCCAGGTATTCAACCAATTTCTAGCACAAGCTTTGAATCAATCCCATTTTCTTTCTAATCAGTATGTTTCTCCTCCTCATGTGTGTTCACCAAATTGTTGAAAGTTACAGAAACACTGCACCTCACACAGTGCCTTCTATTTTGAATCCATCTTAAATATTCTGATGGTCTACAAAAACCCTTCTAAATATGTATTTCAAACATTTCTACTCTGAGGGCTCTAAAATACTAACATCTATCATACCTTAGACTTCATCTCCACCTCAAAGTTAAACGGTCTGCTAAAATTCTATGGCTTCACAAACCCTTCTGTTACAGGCAAACACAAATGGTGTCCAGGAAAGCACCAGATAAAAATGTCACAGGAAGATCCCCCAATTTGGGAAAGAGGGAATCTGCAGCAAAGGATCAGTCTCTTGTCCTCTCACTGAAAGAGAAGCCATTCAGAGCTCCCATGATGAATGCTAGTTCCATCCTTCACTTTCACATGAAAGGAAACATTTAACATGGTTTAGGGCCAAATGCTGCAGCCCTAGAATTGAGCTTTTAGATGGAAATGCTCTGCACCTGAAGGCACTTTCCTCTCCTCCCAAATTTTTCGGGTCCTAAAAATAGAGTAAGAAAGAGGGCAATTATTCCAGGAACTCTAGTTATGTGAGTAGGCAGTGCTATTAAGCACACAGAAAAAGCTAAGGTTTTTTTTAACCTCATTAGTAGGATTTCAAGCTTTTATTGCCCAGGGAATAGCAGCTCTATACCCTGCTCAGTCTTTTACCCACTTCTGTGAGTGTGTGTCACACACATACACGCACGATAAAAAATGTCAACACCCACTCGTAACCAGAATAGCAGTGAAATTTAAATTATCACTGTCTTCACACCAACGAATTAAAAAAATCCCCATAATTCACACAATTATCTAGGAGAAAATACCATAAAAATCCATACGGAATTGGGTCTAGATTATGCGTCGTCTTTGATAGGTATAGTTTATTTCTATGGACAGATGTGATAATATGCCTATTTCTCCCCCAGCATTTTCCCAGGTCAGAAAAGGCTCTCTGGATATTCTATAATAGGTCAAGGTGTGGTCTCCCAAGGATGCATATTCAGAATTTTCAGAACTGCTAGAGTTTATAGTGGCTCTTAATGAAGTCCTTCAGTTAGAAGAGCTTCCATGAAGAATATATCTAGAATATGACTGCTTTTCATCAACCCACTTTTACCACCTTAGTTCAAACCACCATCAAATGCTAGTTACTGTGCTAGTAACTAACCACTTTCCTCCACCCTTGCCCCTCATTCTCTGAGGACTGTTTCCACAGTAGCTCGTATGCTTCCTTGAAAAACAAGTCGATTACATGACTCCTCATGAGACTAAAAGCTAATGTCCTTCTAATAACCTCTAAGGCCCATTTCCCCATTATCTCATGGACCTCAGACCTCATCTCGTTACTGTCTAAGCTCACGCAGCTCTATCATCTGTGGTCTTTTCACCATTCTGATTCTTAAACATCAGTTTCTTAGGGAGGCTTTCCTTGACCACCACATATAAAGCTGCAGCCACCACTCTGCACTACTTCCTCTGCTTTGACTCCAGAGCAGTGACAACCACGGGACATCCAATACCCATGTAAGTTAATATATATATTTTTAAATATCTGTCTCTCCAATAAAGGTTAAGCTCTGAGAGCATGAGTTTGTGTCTGTTGGTTTCACTGTTATTTCCATAGTACCCAGAAACTGCCTGGCCGTTCGTAGGAGTTAGATGAACATTTTTTGATTATTAAATGAAGCTCTTCTCGGTTCCTTCAACCAGTGATAACGTCGTCCTCCTCTGAGATGTAATTGCAGGTTGTCTGTATGCCTTTCTGAATTGATAGCACAGCAAGGAGACAGGACCTGACTAAGGAAAAACCTTTGGCAGGGAAAGCAATCGACATAGAACACAGTTAATGGGGTAGAGAAGAGACAGTGGAGGCTGAGAGAACCCCGTGAACAGTCAGCAAGGCAAACCTGGGTTTCTGTTCTCTGTATTAGTAAAGGAAATCATGCCCGAAAGATCCTTTCCTCTCCTCTCCTCTCTCTCCATTCTTACTAGAGCCACTCTCTGTGCTCTTTTCTTTATGGTAGTCATTTGACTCCTAAAAGTCGGTCCATGGACCACAGTCTCACTCCAAAAACCACACTTTCAAATTAGAAAGCCAGTCAATTCCTAAAGACTCTAACTTCTGCATTTTTACCAAGTCCCTCCCCTCCATAGCTTCCAAAATTCTGTATAGGATCAACTTCTACTTTGTTCAGAGAGGTCTATGCCTGTCCCTTGATTAACAATTCGGCTTCAAATAGTATTTTAGGTTCTGAGAGACAGCTCTTCCTTTGGCACAGAATTAAATGAATTAATACAGACAAAGCCTTAAAGTGCCTGGTACCTGATGTGAAGTAAATAAAAGTTAGCTGATAGTACTAGGTCACAACAGTATCTATTAAATGCTTGTGAGCCAGTGTACCCAGTGGCATTTAACATCAATCTCAGCACTTTGGGAGGCCGAGGAAGGCAGATCACTTGTGGCCAGGAGTTTCACACCAGCCTGACCAACATGAGGAAACCTCGTCTCTACCAAAAAAAATAAAAATTAGCTGGGCATGGTGGCATGTGCCTGTAGTCCCAGCTACTTGGGAGACTAAGGCACAAGAATCACTTGAATGTGGGAGGTGGAGGTTGCAGTGTGCCAAGATCATACCACTGCACTTCAGACTAGGCAAAACAGTGAGACTGTGTCTCAAAAACAATAATAAAATGCACAAAGGAAACTTGCATGGAATGGTAAGCTGTGACAATAGAGAGAATTATTCTCAGATTTATTGAATGACCAGGGTAATAAAACTCTAGACCAAGTGGCTGGTGAGTTATCCCCTCTGGAGGGGCAGGAAGAGAGGACCAGTGGTGGAGGGTTCCCTGTGAGAAGAGCAGAACTTCGTCCACAATGTTCAGACCACAAGATGGTAGCTGAGTATTTCAGCCCATACTGGGCGGTAGGCAGCTGCCCAGAACTTCTGCCTTATTTCTTTCCACCTTGCACTGTGCTTACCTGTGTAGGAGTTTTATTTCTTATACCAGGTTATAAACATACAGAAAAAAAGAGCCATGTCTCATCTTGCTGACCATTCCAGAAACAGTTCAGCAACTGGTGCTTGATACCTCAGAGGACTGACTGGCTTGACTGTATCTTTACTTTGGAAGTCATCTCCTCTAACCTATTCACACAATCCAATAATTCCCTCCACAACCCGTGGCCTAGACATGAGGAGAGCTGACTTCTAGTCCCACTTG